GTCGGAGTACAAAGTTTATCTTCACAAGTTATATTACAAGGAAATCAACATATACTTTCATGGGGTCAAGGTCGTGTCTATACACCTGCATCAAATAGTTATACTTATAAACAAGGTTTATTAACTCCACCAAATAAATCATCTGTTTTACTTGATGGTGCAAAATTTCTTGAACATTCAAGACCTGAATATACACAATATTCAATTGATAAATTTGTTACTGTTAAAAGTTTAGGTGCTAAAGGTGATGGAATAACAGATGATACAGAAGTTATTCAACGAATTATAGATACTTATGCAGAAAGTAAAATTATTTTCTTTGATGCTGGTGCTTATATTCATACGCGAACAGTTAATATACCACGATATGCAGTTATTGTTGGTGAAGTTGAATCTACAATTATGGCTACTGGATCATTTTTTGCTGATGCAAAAAATCCAAAACCTGTATGGTCAGTTGGAAAACAAGGTGAAAGTGGTAATGTTCAAATCGTTGATATATTATTTTCTCATAAAGGACCAGTACCTGGTGCAATTATGATGCAATGGAATCTTAAATCAACTTGTAATGGAAAATCAGGTCTTTGGTCAACACATTTTCGAACTGGTGGAGCGCGAGGTACAGATTTAACACCATTAAATTGTTTAAAATTAACATATGCAGTTGATAGACCAGAATGTCAAGGTGCATTTCTTCAACTTCATGTTACTTCTCAAACATCTCTTTATATGGAAAATGTTTGGCTTTGGGTTGCTGATCATAATTTAGATTATCCAGATCATTCACAAATTGATTTATTTAATGGACGAACTATTTTAGTTGAAAGTCAAGGTCCTGTCTGGATGTATGGAACATCAGCTGAACATTCTGTTTTTTATCAATATCAATTTCTTAATGCACAAAATATTTTCTTAGGACAAGCTCAAACTGAATCAGCTTATTTTCAAGGTGTACCACCAGCTCCTCAACCATTTACTTCATTAGCTGCTTGGTCTGATCCAGTTTTTGATTCATGTTCAGCAAATGATTATACTTGTGCTAAAGGTTATGGAATAGATATTATTAATTCGAAAAATATCTATGTTTATAATGCTGGTCTTTATAGTTTCTTTGAAAGTTGGAATACTTCATGTATTGATACACCAAATAATAAATATTGTCAAAAAGAAATGTTTAGAATTCAAGGAAATACTCAAGATGTTTATCTTTGGAATCTTGAAACTGTTGGTGTTGAAAATATGGTTGTTGTTGATGGAAATACGAAAGTTAAAAGTAAAGATCATATGGGAGTTTTTCCTGATGGAATACTTGCTTATTTACCAAATAATTAACATTCTAATTAGATTTTGTTTTTCAAGAAAAATAAATCTCTTTAGAAATAAAAACAACACTTTTTTTTTATCTTGATAAAATATTTTTTTCAATCTATTGATCCGATATCAAATTAAATATGAGATTAACTTCAATATTTGCTTCGAGAATTCATTAGAATAAATTAAACAAAAAAAGGTTTTACTCTTATTACTGATGAAAAATAGATATGATAGGAGAATTGTTGTATTAATCGTTTGATTTCTTTTTCATAATTCGTTGAATTCCTTCATGGATATGTTCGGGTGATTTAACTAAAATTATTTTTGATTTTGGTGCTTGTTCATGAATAAGATTTAAAATACGATTAAACCAAATAAGTATATCTTCACGATTCTTTGGTACATTATTATCATTAATTGAAAAATTAAGATCAAATCCATTGACATAACCACCTATGAAAAATAAATCTAATTAATAAAATAAAATAAAAAAGATTAGATGAAATAACCTATTGATATTGCATCCCATTTTTCTTCTTTTAATTTTTTAATAAATTCTTCATCACTTTCTTTAGTATCATTGATTCCAATAACTTTTGTATTTTTATAACCTAATGATTGAAGATTATCTTGTGCTTTACTAGCTAATTTCTTACAAGCACCAATACCTAAGATTTTCCAATGATAACATGTAGATGAAAGTGTTCGATTTATTTCAATTGGAATTATCTTAAAATAATAAAATAATATCTAGATTAGATATCATTGAAGATACTTACTCTTTTTAATAAGAATAAATTCTTACTAACATATTTAATAGACATATTAGTCAAGAAAATCGTTATCTCTCACGTTTAAATCTGAATAAAATAAAGAAGATATTTGTTTTATAGATGAATCATTCTACTCTGTCGCTTTTTTTCTTGATAATCGATAGAGATTGTTTATTTCTTTTTTTTGTTCTCTTAATATAATAAGCAATAAAAAGGACGTTTATTGATCCTTTCTATATATAGTAGAGAATACGTATTTTTCTTTATCTTATTTTATACTAATGACACGTGATGCATCATCATCGACTGAATAAATCGAATCTAATAAGAATATCAACGATTTTTTTTCTTTGATTTTTAAATGAAAAATGAAATGATATTTAATAAAAAAAAACGTTTTTGTTTTTTTAAAATTATTTGTGATTAATAAAATCAATTAAATTCGACATCTTGAACAAATAATACCAAATTGATTATCTACAAATTTTTCATTCTCATCAATAATTCGATAACATTTGTCACATTTAAAACAATTAATATGATAAAATTTATCTTTATAAGCAGTATATTTGTCATTAATCGATTGAAAACATTTTGAACATTTTTTTTGAAAATATTTTTCATGACATAATGAACAACATGGTTTATTATTTTGTGTATAAAATTCTTTTTCATTCATAATATTGTTACATTGTCCACAACGAAAACATTGTTCATGATATTTGTTTCCATTGTATAGAATAGATTTGCCCGAAGATATAGCTCGAGAACATTGTTGACATTGTGGAGCAAAACTTTGTTCATAACATCGAATACAACAAGGTTTAGAATTGTGTGTATAATATTCTTTTTCCTTAATTATTTGTGAACATTGTTGACATTGTAAAGCAAAATATTTATCATAACATTGTGAACAACATGGTTTATCATTTTCTGTATAAAATTCTTTTTCATTCATTATTCGAGAACATTGACCACAACGAAAACATTGTTCATGATAATTTTTTCCTTTATATACGATCGATCCACCTGAAGATATGATTTGAGAACATTTTTCACATTTTCTTGAAAATTTTTCTCCATAACATTCATCACAACAAGCTTGATTATCTTTAATACGTATATTAACTTGATTAATTAAAGATTTCCGACATGCATAACAAGAGAAACATGGTCGATGATAATTATTTTCATTAAAACAAATAAATTTTTCATCTAAAATTGATTGATGACAATTGAAACATCTTTTGGAGTTTGATAATTCACATTTTTTACAAATAATTTCACCATTATCATCAATTAAATATTTTTTATCTTCCGAAGAGTTTATCAATTCATGACATGTTGAACATTTGAAACAATTTGAATGATAATATCGATTATTAAATTGAATTTCTTTATCATTTCCACAATCAATTAAACGTTGACATTTTGAACAATTATTCAATGAATTCTAAAGATTTGATCTCATTTTAAACGAGGTTTCTATTCGAATTAGTTAATTTAATTAACTTACTACTGGTGTTATTGGTATTCGATTAATAAGAAGTTCGGTTTTATAAATTTTATTTGTTGGATTATCATTTGAATATGTTGATTGATTTTGTGTTAATGAAGAAGGAGATGGAACCCATACTGATGTTACAATATCTTCTCTAGATTGTCGTCTATGCATTGAATTGTCCTAATCAAAAGAAAAGATTTGATTTAAAAAAAAAAGATTTGATTTGAACAAACTTCGATTTGTTGAGATCGATTCATTTTATTGAAAGAATATTCTAAAAAAGAATAATTTTATTTGTTGAAATCATAACTAATATATTTTACTTACATTATATTTTTGTTTTTCTTTATCTTTAGATTTGTTTTTATGAAATGAAATTCTTTAAATATTCATTGTCTTTATATATTAGAATAAACATAATAAAAGAAAACATAAAATATTTCTTACTTAACTTTATGATTAGAATTGTAAATATTTACAAAACATAAAATCTTCTTACTAATAAAATACATTCTTCTCTTCTCTTCTCTTCTCTTATCTTTTATTACAATATTTATCTTAGACAAAACCAAAACAATCTTTTTTTTTGTTAACAAATTTTCAAATATAAATAAAAGATTTAACTCATCTCATCGAATGATATTCAACAAAAAATCTCTTTTGTCACAAATAGATTTGATTGAGAACTATCAAGTGAAATATGTAAAAACATATATTATTCATAATGATTAATTATCAAACAATGATTTAAACATAAAAAAAAGGTCATTAACCTATTGTATAATTCAATAACAATAACGATGTTTTTTTCTATTTATTTTGTTTTTCAGAGAATTTGTTTAATATATGAAATATTGTCATTATCAGATTGTATGTTAGAATGAAAATAAAATTGAATGTTTGTTATTGTGTTAAAGTGATGATGTTTTTGTCGATTAAAAATATCTATTTTCCAGTTATTTGTCCGTATATTATTTTTGTAATTATTTTCAATAAATTGAGAAAGAAATATTCATGACGAAAAGATGAATAACTCTTATTTATTTATTTGAGAAATAAATATGAAATATTTTATTTAAAAATAAAAAAGAAATCAAAGGTTAATTGATGAATTTAAAAAAAAAAAGAAAATTTGTTAAAAAAAAAAATAAGTTTTATATTTAAAATGAATAAATAAAGTTTGTTTTGATGAATGAAATAATAATTTTATGATGTTCTTTGAAACATTTGTATTCTATAATTGATTGAATCAGCAACATAAAAATCTAGCTTTGTATTAAGTACAATAGCATTTGGTTGATTAAATATATATGAATTATTTCCAATGGCTTGAATAACTCCAGCAATAGTTCTTCCTTTCGTTCCATCACCTTGAAAAAATTGAATACGTTGATTATCACAATCAGCAATATATGTATCCATTTGTGTATCAACAGCAACTGAACATATTCGATTAAATAATGTTCGAGATGTTCCATTTAAATCACTTGAAACTGATCCAGCAATTAAATTCCAATTTTTTCCACCTAATGTCCATCGAACAACATTATAACCTAATTGTTGACCAATAACAAGACTAGTTGTTGGTGAATGATATCGAATTGATATTGGAGTATAAACATATGTATTTCGTAATTGTGTTGTATCATATCCAATATAAATATTAGCTGTTGATGTTGTTAAATCGTATTGAATTATACGATTATTTCCATAATCAGCGATATATAAATAATCTCCTCCCATTGTTAATGACATTGGAGAATTTAATTGATTCGATGCCGAACCAGATGTACCTTTAATAAGAAAATAAAATTTATTTGAAATAAATCTCATTTATTTGAATACCTGTTCCAACAATAATAGTTCCTTGATTTGAATCTTTTGTTCTTTTTATAATTCGATGATTTAATGTATCAGCAACATAGATTTGATTTGATGAATCAATATAAATATCATTTGGAGAATTAAATGAACTTACATCGGAACCATTTGTACCATTTGCATATCCAGCAATAAGAATTAAATTCATTTGTACACTTGAATATTGTAATATTCGATGCATTGTTTGATCACAAAGATAAAGATTTGATTGAGAATCAAATCCTAATGATGATATTACACCTAATGAATTATTTATTCCATTAAGTAAAGTATTTTGACTTATTAATGTAACTCCTTTTGTATTCCATGATAAATCATTATTATTAGCTAAAATACAAATATTTACATTGATTTATTTATTTATTAAATTAAGAAATTGTTTAAATACTTGAATTAACATTATGTTGAATTGAATAAACAATTGGAGTAACAACAATTGTTATTATACATATTATTAATGCAAATATTAATGCAAGCCAATTTGAACGAATAAACAAAGAAATTGTTTGCATACTTAAAAGATAATTTAATTTATTTTAGACAAATATTTTATTTCTTTATTTTTACTCACCATGTTTTTCGTTCATCTTCATTATCTAAAGCTTCTTTTTCAATACTTTTTCTTCCCATCTTATCTAAAATAAAATAATATTATTATCGTTTTCAACTGATTCGAACTTACGTAATGAAAGATTTTTGTTTTTATACAAAAATCGATTTTCTAGAAATTATTTACAAATGAAAAAAAGAAAATAAATAAGAACAATAAACGTTTGTTTTTCTCTCTTTTTAATATTTTTTCTAATATTATCTCACTTAGATTTATCAACTGCGACAAAAAAAAAGAAAAAAAACAAGAGAAACATTTTTTTTTTCATAATAATTGCGACTATTCATGCGTAACTATTAAAGTAATAGAAAGAGAGAGAGAGAAAGTAATACACAATATATATGTATATATATTTTTTTCTTTTTTTTCATGATTAAACATAGTATTGATGACATAGGTAAAAATGTTTTGTTTTGTATTAATGTTATATGTAATAGTCATAAGATCAAATTTAATGACCTAAACAAGAATTAGAAATGACGCTATTTCATATCTATGTACTTTTATTAGTTTATCAATAGAAATACAAGACAAGACATCGTTTGTATTTTTTTCCTATAGAAAATTTTTAAGATAAAATCAAAAATTTCGTTTTGATTTTGTAAATAAATTCTTTTTGTTTCGTTTTATTTTAGAGCAAAACTCTTTAAAAATGGAACCTTTTGATAAAAGTGAGAAGAAAGATGGTGAAACATGTTATGCATATGTTGATGCTGAAATGGCTCAATTTGAAGAAGTAGCTGGTACATGTTCAAATAAAGATAATATTGATGAAGCATGTTGTACAGTTCGAAGTGTAACAATTGGTTTATTATATGTTGTTGGAATGTCATATCTTCATCAATGGGGAAATTTTCAAATTGCAGCCCCATTTATTTCATCTGTCTTAGTTATTGTTAGTTCATATCCAATGGGACATTTATGGACATATATTGTTCCACGAGCTAAACCATTTACAATGAAAGAACATGGTTTTATATTAGTTATGGCTAATGTTGCATATATGTTTAATTCTGTATTTATTTATGCAACACTTACAACATTGAAAGTTCTTGAAAGAGAAAAAGTTAATTTTGCATATTATTTCTTTTTTATGCTTTCAATTCAATTTCTTGGATTTGGTCTTGCAGGTTTGTTAAAGAAAAAAAAAACTAAATTGTTTTCTTTAATCATATATATATTTTTTCTTTAGGTATTCTTCGTCGATTTTTAGTTTGGCCATCTGAAGTAATTTGGCCACAAAATTTACCATTAATAGCTGTGTTACGTACATTACATGATCGACAAACAAGTGTAACCGAAGCATCATTTGGAGATGTTAAACGTAGTTTAATGCAAAAAATTCTGACAAATCGTTTATTATTTTTTGTTGTTATAACATTAATATCATTTACATATGAATGGTTACCATTATATATAATGCCAATCTTAGCATATTTTTCATGGATGTGTTGGATCAGTCCATCAAATGTTCCATTAGCTCAATTAACAGCAGTACGTGGTCTTGCTATTGGTGGTGGTGGTTTAACATTAGATTGGTATATGGTAACACGATATCTTGGTTCACCATTAATTTTACCTGGTTGGGCATTAATAAATATTGCATTTGGTTTTGTTTTAATAATTTGGTTAATTACTCCAATTATTTATGGAACAAATATGAGAAGTTTTACAACATTACCAATTGGTGGTGTTGTTTCAACTGATTTTACAGCATTAAGTATTGTAACAGCATTTGCATCATTTGCAAGTATAACAGCTGTTTTTGTTCATTTATTATTATTTCATTCGAAAGATGTTTGGTTACAATTAACAACAAAAAGTTTAGGAAATATGGGAAATGATATGCATGCTCGTATGATATCACTTTATAAAACAGTACCTGATTGGTGTTATTTAGAATTATTTGGATTAGCATTGATTGTTGCATGTGTTACATGTGATAATGCTGGTTGGTTACCTTGGTATTATGTTTTATTAGCATTATTTGTTGGTGCATTATTTGCATTACCATTTGGTTTAGTTTCATCAATAACAGGACAATTATTACATAATTTATCTGTTTATTATATTTGTTTATTAATTGGTCAATCTTTATCTTTACAATCAAATGCTAAACATATTTATACATTTATTGCACTTGGTTATGTTGTTTTTGTTCAAACATTGGTTTTAATTCAAGATATGAAATTTGCACATTATGTTAAAATAGGTCCTAGACCATTATTTGCTGCACAATGTTTAGCTGGTTTAGTTTGTTCAACTGTTTCAATTGGTATTCGTTATATGTATACAACAGGTGGATCATCAGCATCAACTTGGTCCATTTTTAATAATACAAAACTTGGTTGGACACTTTTAAATGATTATGTTGGATTTTTTACTGGAACAAATTTATCAAATCGAGGTTTATTTTGGGCTTTTTATGTTGGTGCATTTTTACCAATTCCTGGATGGATTTTATCTAAATTTCCACGTTTTTATTGGTTAAAAAAACTTCATTGGCCATTAATTTTAGTGACAGTTGGATGGATGCCATCAATTGTTCCAGCAGGTGCTTTATTTACTTGGCTTTTAATTAGTTTAACTATTTATTTTACATTTGGTAAATATAGTTATAGACAACGTCATGTTTATTTAGTTTCAGCTGGACTTGATCTTGGTCTTAATATAACATTAATTATTATAACTACAGCATTTAATAATAAACAAATTTATTTTCCACAATGGTGGGGAAATCGAAATAGTTCCGTCTATGATAGTTGTCAAAAAGCTGTTCAAACTTGGTAAATATTTTATATTCACAAACAAAAAAAAACATTTTACATTTACATTTTTCTTTCATTTTGATTTGATTTTATTAAAATTTTAATTTTTTGAAAAAAAAAAAGAAAATTATTTTTTTTATACAGTTTTTTTTCTTTCTTCTCTTTATTCAAAATAAAAAAAAAAAGGTGAAGCAAAAAATAAGAAATTAAATGAATGTATATGTATGTATGAATGAATGTCATGATTAATTAAGAACCAACAAGAATGACAAAAGCATTTTCTTTATAACCACGATTTTCTAAATAAAATGTAATATTATAATATCTTCCACCAGTAATAGATAATGTTTGAATTAAATATGTCATCCCAACATTTGTTTGATCATTATAATAAAAATCTTGATCATATGGAATATCAAATAAAATATCACTTACTGAATTTCGTGTATTTGATAAAATACATTGATAATAATTTTTTGTTAAATAATTTGATTCAAAACTTCCATCAAGAATTGTTTCTGTAAGCATTGTTGTATCAATAACTGAAATTTTATCTAATGACCATGATGCTGTATCATGACGAAAACCAAATACTAATGACATTGATTTAGCAATAACACTTGGACGAAAAATAAGATTAAAAAGACGATATGGAAATGGTTCCGCATTGACTATATAATCTAAAACTTGAGTCTTTGAAAATGATTGTGTACATTCATTTTCAGTATAATCTAAATTAACATTTTTTTATTTTGATTTTGACTTTTTTTTCTCAAGATTTTTATTTACTTGTTGGTGCATTTGTATTTGTTGTATTATCAACAGGTCCTTTATTATTAGAATAAAACTAAAAAATATTTTATAAAATAAATAGAAATGAAAAACCTGTATTTGATTTGGCTGTATATAAAATTGGAATAGCAATTGTAACACCACCTATGACAATTATTAAAAGAGCAACTATTATTATTGTTGATAATGAAATTTTATTTTCTTCTTTTACTCTAAACAATAAATAAGAGAGAGAGAGAGAATTCTCAAGAATTTTATATTTAAATTATTAAATAACATACTCAGCCATGAAATGTTCCAACTGAATTCAATAATTTCAAATATATTTCACACGAAATCGAAATAAATATATGTATATATATATATATTAGAAGCTAGTCACCGATTGATTTGTTTTTTTTTCTCATTTTTTTCTTGTTCTTATTATTAAACATATAGATATGTTAAGTGAACCGTATCAGAGAAAAAGGAGTCGTCGTCGTCGTCGTTTTTTTTCTTTTTGATATAATGTAGATATTTGATTGATATGTAAACAAAATCTAATATATACTCTTCATCAACAAATAAATAAATGACGACTAAACTATTGTTGACTTGTTAGTCATATGTTTTTCGATTTTTATACAACGAAAAAATAGAAATTGCGTCAATTTTTCTTAATCATCATATAACCTGTTTTTTTACATTTTTACTCAATATCATTCCAATTAAGTATTTTAATAGACATATATATCTATATGATTAATAAAATATATTTTTCTATTTAATATCTATTTATTTGTTGTGATATTTTGAATAAAGATGATTTTGTATTAATTTTGAATTCTAATAAAAAAATTTGTTAAATATATTCAATGAATGATGAAACATAAAATATTATTGAATTATTTATTAAAATTCGTAATAAAATCCGGTGCTCTTGTTAATCCACCACCTGCAGCTCCATATTGAATAAAAATATTTTTATATGGTTCAATCCAATTAATTTGTCCATATTGACTAACTTGTCTATTACATCCATAAATAAAAATGGGTTTAATTTTCGTATTAGTTGGAAATGTATTTTTAACAGATTTTAATAATCCAACAGCAACAGTTGAATCATAAAAGGATGTATATTTATTGGAAATATTTGGTGTAATACAAGCACCTGCTGTAAATCTCATTAAAAATAAATTTGTATTTTCATCTATTTGAATTGGTTGAGGAGATAAATTCGTAACATGATTTGTTCCACCACAAACTAAAACAGGTGGAATTTTATAATCTTTTGGTAAATAAATCAATGCTAACATTGAAACACCACGTGCTGAAACAACATCAAATAATCTTTTATTATTTTCTGTAAAAATTTCTTGATTTCCTAATGATAAAATTAAACGAGAAAATTTTATAAATTTCTTTTGACCATTTCCATATTTAATTGATGCAATACCACCACCATCAGTTGATTGTTTCTCATCAATATAAATTGTATCTAATGTTCCATCAAGAACTTTTCCACCTTGTTTAATTAAATAATCATTTAGAATTTGTTGAAAATTTGCAACTAAAACTCGATCATGAATTTTTTCAGCAAACATTAAACCATTTGGTATAAATGAATAACGTTGTAATAAAGTTTCTTTTGATAAAATATTTAAATTTCTTCCTTCTTCAATTAAATTATCTTTTAATTGATTTAAATCATTTATTTCTTGTTGATTTCTTGCAATAATTATTGATCCTGATTGTTCTAAAAGAAGTTTATTATTTAAAATTTCATTTAATTTTGAAAAAAAGACTTCGTTTATAAAACATTGTTTTGAAACATCATTTAAAAGATTTGTTCGATCATTAAACATTGTAAAGATTTGAAATTGTATTGATAATTTTAAAGCTCTATACCAATGCGAGGGATGATAGATCCATGATAACCAATCAATTGTTCTCCAAGGAAATTCACCTGTTTTAGAAATATCTTTTAAATAAATATTATCATAAAAAATTCGTTTTAATTGATCAGAAAGAAATTTTGTTGGTTTATAATTTGTTGGTGCTTCTGTATGAGCATCTTGTTCAAGATGCCATGCTGATCCATTTGCAATTGGTATTCGACGAAAATCATTTAAATAAATTAAATCTTTTTCATTTTTATTTGAAATTAAATCAACAGCAGAAATTAATGCTGGGGCACCACCAACACATAATGTTGAAATATTTTCATGAATTATTTCATTTTTATATTCTTTTATTGAACGAAATTTTACAGGAGTTTTTAATGAATGTTTTTCTTTAATTTCATTAAGATTATTTCCAATTAAAAAATCATATTTCGAATAATATTTTTTAAATAAATTTAATTCTTCAATATCATTTGTAAGAAATGGATGATGCATTCCATGATAAAACGATTTTTTATGTTCACTATTTGTATGTTTTATAAATTCATCATCTTCATCTTCATCGAATTCAATTAGATCATTATAACGTTTTCGTACTTTTATTATTGTTATTGTTGTTGTTAGTCCAATTAATCCAATTGAAATAAATCGACGACGACGTGAAGACCAAAATCGATTCAATCCAATAGACATTTTCACTTTTCTTTTTTCTTTTTTAAAAAAAAACCTTCGAAATGTTAACAAAAAAAGAATAAGATAGGAAAAATCTTTTATCTTTTTTTTTGTTGTTTTTTTCTAATATTTATTTAAACAGAAAAGAAAAGAAAAGAAAAGAAGAAGAGATATCGAGTTATTTCATAAGAATTAAATAATCTTTTCACTTTTCTTCTCACATTTTTAAAATTTGATTCTATTAGACTCACTAGAAAAGATTTTCTTTTATCAACAAAATTTTTTCAAGAAAAATAAATCTCGAATAGAAATTCTTCTAATCAATTGTTTTCGAATTATTTCAAATAAATTTCATTTAAAATCGAAAAATATTTCTTAGTTCTCTTTGACATGTTAACAAAAAAAAGTACATTATCGTTATTACGATGATTTATTTGAATCTATGACGTCAAAACTTGTTTTAGAAATATATTAACACAATAACAAACATAAAATTAATGAGGCATATCGATTGATTAGAGAAAAATGAGACGAAATACTTATTCGATTACTAATAACAATAAATATATCTTTTGATTTATTTATAAATTTATCTAAATTAAAATAGATAAACGATTTTTACCGAGATATCTAAATACATATGATTAGATATAGAAGATAAATATCACACATATAATCAATGAATAAAAGAAAATAATATTTATATATACATAGAATAAATCTTCAGATGATTTCAGTTAATAAATTTAACATGATTGAATTATCTTAGAAAACGAAAAGAGAAAGAAGGTCATTATTTTCTTATTTTCCTTGTTAAAATCTCTGGTGACCTATCGATAGTTGACATTGTGCTCAAGGTATTAAGATTTTGAGAAATCTATTACCTTCTCTTTTTTTTATTTGACAAAATCTTTGAAAGATTTGTTTTGATTTATTTTTGAAATCTGAGAAAGTATTTGGAAGACCATTAAGACTCATGTATACATGTCACATTTGAAATTTGTTAATTTACTAATAAGATCTTTTATTTCATCTGTATATGTCCTATATTCGTCAATTGGACACTCTCAACATTTTTTCGTTTAATAATAAACCTTATTCTACATTTATGTTTATCCTTCGAGTTTAAAATGAAATTAATGAATATTTCTCATATATTTTCAATAAAATGGATTTATTAATATTTTTGTTGAAATTATTTTCTTGTTAAATAATGAAATGAATAAATTATCCAGCATTGATTTCACAATTAACACCCGAATAAGCTGAACCACAAAAACAATAATATGAATTTCCATTATTATAACATGGACGATTATTTCGACATGGATTTTGTGTACATGTTATACCAACTTAAATATACAAATACAATTTTATTAAACAACATTTTTTTTAGTTTTTTATTAAAAAATTACCTTGAGGAGAATTTGTTATTCCAGGATTAATTGGTGGATTTGTTTGAAAAGGATATTGTGTTTGAAATGGATTTTGTGTTGGAAGAATAATTTGACCAGGAGATTCTAATTAAATTTAAATGAATTTTATCATTATTATTTTCATAATCCAACAGTGTATGTATTATAAAAGAGATGAGTTTCATTAGGTATTACACATAAAATCGAAATATTCAACTCGGTTAAATTAATCATTCTCTTCATTTATGAGAGTAATATCAATTCTCCAATGTTTAAAATGATATGAAAAAAGTTTTAAAGAAGTATTGTTCTTGTACTTTTATATTTTTTTTTATGATAAAATAAGATTTTAGACTTATTTCATCTAGATAATTTATTTGAATGAATGTTTATAGAGACGCATATGATAGAGATTTATGTTTAATCTATGTGAATATATAATTTCTCATGAATAGAATAAAAAGTAATATTTTTCGGTAATTTCTAACGTATAAATGAGGATATCGAAAAATTTGTTCAAAACTTATTAAAGTGAAAGAGAAAGTAGAAATATCTTTGTAACATACGTGTAACTCCAGTTGAAATTTGACATTGATCTCCGGTATGTGTTGGTGGACATTGACATTTGGCTAGATTATTAATAACAATACAACTACCATCATTACAATATCCATCAGGTAAATAAGAACAAATAATATCTGGTGTTGTTGAAACAGTTGTTGTTGTCGTTGTTGTTGTTGATCCCATTGTTGTTGTTATAGGAACTTGACATCGTTCACCATCAAAATTATCGCCACATTCACATTTCGGTTTTTTATCTTTTGGTTCATCACCTTCTACTTCACATATTCCATTATTAAAACAATAATTGTAACATACTAAAAGATTTTTTTAATACGTAAATAGAAAAGATTAATTTATTAAAAATCCCTACCAGAATATTCTTGACACCGTGCTCCATCATATGGATATGGACATTGACACGCTAATTTTTTATCATCACCTAGATAACAAACTCCACTATTTTTGCAAAGATCAGGCACATAACTACATGGAGTATTTCGAGAAGTTATTCGACTTATTTGTTTAACTTGTTTATTCGAATCTTTTTTAAATTCTCGTATTAAATTACATTTTTCTCCTTGCCATTCTGGATAACAATAACATTGACGAATATTATTCATAAGAAGACAAACACCATTATTTGAACAATCACTTTTTGAACATTGTTTCACATTAGCATCGTCATTTGATGGATATCCATAGACCGATGATTGAAATAAATAATATCCAATAATATAAATTGAAATTAGTTTGGAAAACATTTCAACCTTTGTCACTTTATTCAATGGAAAAAAAGAAATTTTTTCAAAAGATATTTATACAAAGATTTTTTTATTTAAACGAGATTTAGTTTAAATTTCAAATAAATAAAAGATTATTTCAAAATCAAGAAATAAATAAAAATGTCATTTGTCATTTATTTGATTTTTATTAAAGATTTGTAAATATTTTCTAAATCTTAAGAGAAAATCTTCTTTAAATCATTCTTTCTATAGAATTACATTTAAATATTTACAAATAAATCACAAAAATAAGTACATCACATATAACATTTCGATCTCGATCAATATTCGGTCAAATAAAAATCTGAGAATTTTATTTGAATTAACGAATAAATGAATATTTTTCTATAATTTATCTTAATTATAAAAGATTGTTTCTCCTAACAAGATTTTCTTATATTCTACAATATTCATTTGCTCGATGACACAAGAATGAAAATATCTCTCTCTCTCATATTTACAACGAACTGATCAATCAACTCCTACATTGAATTATTAATTAAAGAATTTCATTATAGGAAACGACTTCTGTCAGATTAACAGTATAAGAATTACAACTGAGACAATGAGATAATTTATGGATAAAAAGACTTTTTCAAGTTAGAAACAATGAAAGAAGAGTTTGTCAGTTTTTAACTATTGACAAAATCATTCGTACAAATATCAAGTTGATTTTCAAGAAACACTTTTCGTCGATTCATTGTCTTCAATGATAATTTCATCGATTATTTTATATTTGATCTCTATAAAATAGATCTTTTGCCTACTACTCTCAATCAGTTTTGTATAGAACCTACAAATTGGTTTCGAAAAGAAACTTACCATCTTAAACACTGATCTCTTTCAACGTTCGAATAGAAATATGATAATGAAACTTAAGTTTTCTCATATGTAATACAAAAATGAAATTATTCTTTTTCATAAAATAATAAAATTTTGTTTTAGAAATCAAATATGTTTCGTTATTTATTTATTAAGAGAAATAAATGATTAAAATAAAAGAAAAGAAATTTTCTTGTCATTTTAAATAATGAAATGAATAAATTATCCAGCAATGATTTCACAATTAACACCCGAATAAGCTGAACCACAATAACAAAAATATGTATTTCCATTATTGTAACATGGACGATTATTTCGACATGGATTTCGTGCACATGTTATACCCGCTAAAATAAAAACAATTTATTTTCTTAAATAAAAAAATATTTGATAAATACGTTGAGGTGTTTGTCCTGGTGCGTTTGTTGCTCCTGGTGCATTTGTTACCCCTGGCGCATTTGTTACTGCTGGTGCATTTGTTACTCCTGGTGCATTTGTTGCTAAATTTAAATTATATTCAATATAATTACGAGAATATTTATTTGGAAATTCCTACCTGGTTGTGGACCTGTACCTGCTGGAATACAAAAGCCTCCAGTTCCAGGTGCGAGACATTGACATTTAGGAGCTCCATTAATAATACGACAAGTTGCATTAACACAAAAGTCTTGAAGAGCTTGACACAGTATACTTTGAGGTCCCTCTTCTGGAGAAGGTGTTGTTGTTGGTGGTGGTGTTGGTGGTATTGTTGTTTCAGGATCTAGACATATCATTCCTGTAAATTTAGTTCCATTACAATTACAATCTGGATCAGTTGAATTTACTTTCAGTGTACAAATTCCATTATTTTTACAATAATCGATCTTAGCACTGCATGCTAGAATGATTAAAAGAAATAATTAATAGATTTTATAGAATAACATTAATGAATGAATGTCATTAGATAATGGATGAAAAATTCGTGTAGAGTAAAATGAATCTTCTAATATATTTTTCATATTTAAACTAGAGAATGAAATTTTCTTTTCTCACTGATAAATTATTGTTTCGAATTGATATTGATAAGAAAAAATTTGATGAAAGATAAATCAATGTACTAAATATGATTTAACTTACGAGAATCGCGTTCACATCGTGTTCCAATAAAATCTGGTGGACAAGCACAAGAAAATTTTTTCTCTTCAAATTGACATAATCCTCCATTTTGACATAAATCTGGAACTAAACTACATGGATGAGCACGTGAATTTGCTCTATTGATTTGTTGATCGGGTTGAATTTGAATATGATTATTTAATTCTCTAGGAAGTTCACAAGTTTCTCCTCTCCATTCTGGTAAACAATAACATTGACGAGTTTGTTCACGAGTAACACAAATTCCATCATTTAAACAATAATTTGAACAATCTTCATTATTTGTATTTGATGGAAAACAATCTACTTTTGTAAAAACTAATAGTAAACCACAAATAGAAAGAAAATTCATTTTAATAAACATTTTTTTAACGGTTAGAAGAAGATTTTGAAATTTTATATTTATAGATGAGAATTTATTTAAAAAAGATTTGATAAGAAATCAATATTTTATTTAGATTAATTTAACATTTTTTTCGATAAACATCCATGAAAATATGATAAATTAATCCAAAAATAATCAAAATATTTAACATGATTTTTATATATTTAGTATTAACTTTTATCCTTTATTTAAAAAATTCAAATCTTTATCAATGAAATAATAAAAAAACAAGTTTATCATTTCGTCATTTTTTAATAAGATCAATAAAAAAATATCTTTGTGCTACCCACACATTATTTTCATCCTTATTATTCAAAACAATATTTTAACGATACACCAGAAAAATAAATCGTAAACTCATATTGATCTTTATTCATATACATTGTAGATGAAACATTTCAAATAGATAGTATTTTTCTCATTCAATACTTCGTTCAACTAGAAACTCACAAAATCATTATATTCGCACAGAAAAATATCCTTTCGAATTTTTAGGAATTTTTCAAATAAAAATAAAAATGAAATATTTGAAGAATTAAATGTTTTTTTTTTATCTTTAAGTAAATGAAACGAAGATTTGATTTTGTAACATAAAAAATAAAATAAATATTATAAAGTATTCTATCTTGATAAGATAATTTCGTTTCAGAAAGAAGATCAAAGCTGAAAAATATTTATAAAATTTGTCTATATATAATGTTCCAGACTTTTGCAGTCGACTACTAAATATAAGGAATATTTGTGTACTGAATTACTTGAATTGTTAGGATTATTTTCAAATAATAAATTGAGAAAACATTTCTAGAAAAAAGTCTATGAACACATCAAAGTCTTTTTCAACATTAAATTATGAAACAAACATTTTTTTATTATCTAACTAGAAAATCCATCAAATCAAATAAACTCTAAACGTCGAGAAAATATTTCAAAAATTTATTCGAACTAAAATCAATATATAGAAATAAATAGATTTATTTTTCATTTTAAACAATTTCATAATTATAAAAGAAAAGAATTCATAGAAAAGGTTTATTCGATTAAATCAATAAATTGTAAAGATTGGAAAAGTAATTTTATTATTAATCTCTAAGAGAAGTTATTGAAACCAATATTTATAATTTAATAAAAGTGAATAATCTGGTTTTTCAATGTTTTGAAAATGTTCTAATGTTCTTTTTCCTTGTTTATATTGACATTTAACACAAAAACATTTCTCAATTGGATAAATACTTTCAAATAATTGATCCCAAATTTTAAAAAAGAATCCCGTATGATAAGGACGATTTTTTGTTGATATTGCATGATGTAAATAATGTTGAAATGATGTATTTAATATTGAATGATGAGCATCAGGATAAGATAATTCATGACCCCAATGAAGATAAACACCATAACCATAAAAAAATATTGCAAACTAAAAAGAAATTATTTTTTAGTTTTAAAAGAGAAAAGAAATGTCTAACTTGAAAAAAAAGTAAATCAATATTAATTGGTACAAATATTGGAATTAATAATAATGGTGATGATCCAATAATTTGATCAATATAATCTTCAGCAATAACAGAAAATGGAGATGGATTATAAAATTGATGATGAGATTTATGGATATTCCAAAATAGATTTGTTGTATGACCAATTCGATGATAGAAAAATTCAAAAAAATCAACTAAAAACCAACTTACAAAAAAACTAATTAACAAATAACTCCAACCATATTCATCAATACCACAATATCCTTTTAATTGATTTTTTGACATTAGATAAATTGTCATTGATGGACAAAATGTACCTGACAAAATTCCTTTTAACATTAATAAAATTTCATTTCGAACATTTTCTACAGATGGATATTTTGGATTTGTTTTTTTTAACCATTTCGAATAAGTTATTTTAACATAATAACAATAAAATATTAATGAAGAAATTATCATTAAAACAATAAATGTTATTAAACTTAATATAAACCATGTATAGAAAAAATTATTACCAAAATAAAAACTTATTTCACATAACATTATTTAGTTGACTTTCGCAACTCAAAAATATTCGATAAGAATAAAATAAATGAAACTATTTTTTCTTTTCTTTTCTTTAGAAAAAGAAAGAAGGAATGTTTATCTTCTATACATTAAATTGTTTCATTGGAGGATATTTATTCTTATCCATCGAACGATTTTTATTTTCAAAATAGAATTGAAATTAAAACTCTCACAATTCTCAATCAATATAAGAAAACAACATCTAAATATATTTCTAATGAATAAAAGTGTTAAAGTTCGGCAATAATGGCAATTTGAATAGTATTTTTGGTATTAATTTGTATATTAATTAATTCTTTTTGAACTAAACGTTTTTGAATTGAATATAAATAAAGTGGCCAACGAGTAATCCATGATTTATAACCTTTTTTTGAAATAAGAATTATTTGATTTGGTAAAAAAAAAGTTAGTTGATTTTCAATTAATGGAATTGGTAATTGATAAAGTTCTTTACTTAATAAAAGAATATCATTAAAAACACATTTCTTTTTTGTTTCACCATAACCAAATGTTGCTGAAATATAATAAATATTTCCATACAATTTTATTAATAAACGTTTATCACGTGAAATAAATGGAACACGTGCATATTGAATACGAAGAAATATTATTAATTGAGGAATATTACGAAATAAACGAATATAATTTTCAAAAATATCAGGAGTTTGACGAGAACTACAAGTTAAAAAACAAGCAACACCCGGTATTACACTTATTTCTCTTGAATTTTCTAAATTATTTAATTCAATTTCATTTGATATTGTTGATAATGGAACATGTGTTAAAATATTCAAATGATTTTTATTATCATCATCATCAATAATATCACTATCATTATCATCAACTGTATCTAAAGAAAAAAGAAAAGAAAAAAATGTTTTTTTAAATTTAAATCTTTTATTTCAATACATTGAATATCGAAATGTTGATTATTAGAAATAAATATTGATTTTTGACGTTGTGTTGTTAGTCCAAATCTTCTTGGAAGTTGATTAAGTTGACATGTTGTTGATTGAATACGCATATATGTTTTTAATTTCTTTTCTCCATAATACCATGAATAACCAATTAGAAAAAAAATCAATGCTATTAAGATTGCAATCCATGCACCTATTGATTTTCAAAAAAAGTTTTTTTTTAAGAAATCTATTTGAACAAAATAAACCTTCAATAAATTTCAACGCATTAGCTGCCCAAAATAAACAATCAATAATTAAAAATAAACTAAATAAAATCACATAAAGAATTGATTTCTTCCAAACAGTTTTAATAAGCATTAAAAATAATATTGTTGTTATAACACTAACACTACAAACTGTTAATCCATATGCATTTGTTAAACGTGATGAACTTTGAAAATAAATTGTAACAAATAATGTTAATAACATTAATACCCAATTAATTGTCTAAAACATAATTTATTTCAATAAATCAATTCAAATCAAGAGACAAATTCTCACTGGAACATAAATTTGTCCAATAACTTTTTGACTTGTATGATGAACTTGAAGTGGAGCACAAAAACCTAATGAACTTGCTTGACTTAATAATGAAAAACAACCTGTTATTATTGCTTGAGATGCTATGACTATTGAAAAGATTTTATTAAAGAGAGGAGAAGAAAACTAAATTCTAATAACTTGTTGCAATTGTTGATAAAATAACCATTGGCCAATGTGCCCATTCAGGAACAGAACGATAAAAACTTCAAAGAAAAATAGATTTTATTAAAAGAAAAGAAAAGAAAATCTTACGGATTTTCAATTGATTGAGGATTATGAATAAGAAGTGCACCTTGACCCAAATAATTTGTTATAACACATGGAAAAACAACAAAAAACCAACTTATTCTTACAGGCCATAAACCAAAATGTCCTTGAATTTATTAAAAATATTATTTCAAATAAAAAGAAGAAGAAGAAGAAGAAGAAGAAAATAAGAACCTAAATCAGCATATAATGCTTCACATCCAGTTACTGATAGAAAAACTCCACCTAAAAAAAAAAATATTTTTTTTATAGTTTAAAATAAAATGTGAGAATAAATAATTAAACCAATATGATAAAATCCATCTTTTTTTTCTTTTATTAAATAAATAATTGCTTGATAAGGATTAAATGATTTTAAAATAATTGGTTTTAAACGAATTCGCCATATTCCAATTGAAAATAATGACAAAAACCAAATAACCATAACTGGAGCAAATGTATTACCTAAATTTGCTCAAATTAATTTTTATATTATCTTAGAAAAAAATCAATTTAAATTTCTTTAACCTATTTTCGATGTTCCCCATTGTTGACCAATAAATAAACAAATAATAATAATAACAGTTATTGGTACAACCCATTTATGAAGATTAGGTGCATTTAACGCTAATCCTTCAACTGCTGATAAAACAGATACAGCTGGTGTTAATGCACCATCACCTAATATTTTCTTGAAAATTATTTTATTTAAATTAATAAATAAATATTTACCAATTAATAATGATGCAGCTAATATTGATGCAATATTAACAAAAGATTTCATCCGATTTGATAAATTAGCTGATTTTTTTGTAAGTAATGCACAAAGAGCAAATGTTCCACCTTAAATAACAAGTGTAAATTTAAAATAAAATTTTTTTCTATATATAATTTCACCTTCTCCTTTATTATCTGCTTTAAGTATAAAAATGGAATATTTTATTGAAACAACAAGAATTAAACTCCATATAATAAGACTAATTGCTCCAATACATTGAAATTGATTTGGAGGAGTTTTTTTCTTATGAAAAATTGTTTCAAGAACATATAATGGACTTGTTCCACTAAAAACAAATTTATTTTCTCATTAAAAAAATAAAAATATTTCAATTACATATCACCAAATATAATTCCTAATGAATGAAATGTTAAAGAAATTGTCATTAAGAAAGAAGATTTTTTCTTGACATTATCACAATTATTGGATTGAATTGCTTTTTCATTTGATGAGATTTCATTAAGATTATTATTTTCATTTGTTAATCCATAATTATCAGAACATGTAACATTCATTTTACAATTTTCTATATAAAATAATTCTTCCATATTCTTTGAGATAACGTTTTTGTTATCGATTAATTCTATTGGTGAGTTTTTCTTTATTTTCAAATTGACACGAAATCAATTTATTTTCTTATCAAAGATCAAACATTTTGTTTTATTTCTACAAATGATTTTCATTGAGAAATAACAATTTCATTTTCTCTTATTAATATTCTTTTAATTTATTTGTTAATGATTTGTATATTGAAAATGTTATTATTTAATAGAAATAAATTAAGATAAGAAATCATTTTATTGGTTTCGTCTACTCTTTTATATGAAATAGTTTAAATCAACTTCCTATTTATTGTTACATCTTCTTCTTTTTTTTTTTAAAATTCCAAAATCTTTCAATGGCTTCTATTTTTGAATCACTCGAAATATTCATGAATAATCTCTCCTATTTAACAAAATCGATTAAAAAAAAGACTCGGTTGGATTTGAATATAAAAAAAATAATAATAAAAATCATATGTTAAAAGCATTTTATTTAAAGATTTTTTTTCTAGTATTTATACATTTAAAAGATGATGATGGTCCCATTTGTATTTACTTAAAGTTTTTTTTTGGTTTTATCAATGAGCATTTCTTCACTTACTTAACGTTTTAAATGGACACTTAACAATTTTATTTTATTTTCTTTTATTTTCTTTGACTGATAAATTCAATAGGTGACATATCCAGTTAAATGCAACATTGAAATAATGTTTAAAAAAAAGAAAAATTCCAATTGAACTTATTCTTTAATTGATTGAAAAGAAAGGACATAACTATATTCAAAGAGTATAGATATGCTTGAAACAATTGCATTTCAAATACCAAATTTGGAACTTCCAAATATTCAAGTTAGTATTAATTGGATTTTATTAATAAAAATCGAATTAAATATTCAGGTTCCAAATCGAATCAATGATGAATATCCTCGACCAAAACGATTTATTCGAAAAAGCAATCAACAAAATCGAACTAATTCTGTTCGCCAATTAAATTCTAATCAGAATATTAATTTAAGATCATTACCAACTCTTTCAAGTGTTACTACGTATATTCACATTTTGAATTTTCTTATTTAATTTTTCTTATTTTTCTTAAGAACAACAACTAAAACAAATCCATTATGTTCATTACCTTTAAAAATTTTTATAACAACTTTAATCGCATTGATTGGAGCTGCAGCTATTGTTGGACCAGCTGTTTATTTTAGTCAACGAGGTATAGATATACATATCTTTACTTGATTTTATTAAAAACATTCAAATCCTCTAATGACAATAAAAGATTGGTTACCCGTTAATCAGTAGTTCATATAGAAGAGAATATATTAAATAGATTTTAAATTACAAAATAACTTACTTAGAATTCATCAATCAAGAAATCTCTGCAAATTTTACTTTTTTTTAGACGTGAGGGATATTTTTCTAAAGTTTTAATTAAAAATTGTAAAGTTGACAAATTTTAACAATAGATAATATTTTTATTAGAGTTTATAGTTGAGATCTAAAAGAACTTTTTTCTTAAATTTAAAATCAACGTATAAAGTGTATGTTCACATTTTTCTTTCCTTATAAAAATTTGAAAAAAAAAGTAAAATCTATCTAATCATATTTTCGTTTGATGAAAAACATCTAAAGAGTAAAGATATAGAGAAATAAATTATTTTCTATGGTTAACAATATATTATAAATGAAAACACATACACTTACATTATAGACACAAATTTTAGATCATCTTTAACTGACAGTAGGAGTTTAGAATAAAATTATGTTTTTCATTAAAATGTATCGAATAGATTTCATTTCTTTGAACAATATCGAAAATAGACTGTAAATGAGAAATAATAGATTTTCTATGATTATTGATTCTACTTAATGTCTATACTATATCTAATTATTATTCTAATACGCATAATTTTAATTTTTTAAAATACAAATATACTTATGATAACCAAGTTCAAAAATATCAAAAAGAAAAATAGAATTGTAGAAGTTTTTTATATGAATTATTATAATTGATTAAAACAGGTTATGTCCGATGATATTACTAACAAAACTATATCTCTTCATACAACATATAGACAAAGAATAGAATTAAAAAGTTTAGAATATATTATATATAGAATACGATAGAAATTTGAGTACACACCCATTTTTATTCATGCTATTCTATTATTAATCGACTAGAATTCATCTTTTACATTAGAATAAATCAATTGATTTACATTTGAGAATAATTACCCACAACGATTTATGTTATCTGCATCTACCCATAGAGTATTAGGCTACAATTTATCCATCCATACCGTCATTTAAAATAATATTATTATTCTTTCTAATATATCGAAAGAAAATAAATCGATTCAATATTAAAAATTCATAGAATTTCTGCCTTTTTATTAGATTATGTGACAGATACTAACAATTCTATAATAATATTCATATACAAATTCAGAGATGTTTTTTTTGTTTCTGGATTTCCGATATATTTGAATGACATCTTTATATGTTGGAAAAGAATTTTCTACAATATAATCACCATTTAAAATTGCATCTCAAAAAGATTTTTAAAGGGCAAAACTCTGATGTCCGAGAAGAAGTACTCACAGTAGCCTTCGATCTAAATTCTTATAATCACTTTCGTATTTAGTTGAAACACCAACAGTGTCAGCTTTAAGCCTAGCAATAGCAGTAACCGCTTATAATACAACAACGAGCAGTGCGACATCGACAACGACGACCGGTTTCATCACAACAATCTCTACAACGAATGGACCAACAATAACCACAGCGGGGACAACGAGTGTAACAGCAATTACTACAACAACTAGTATGGGAATGACAATTCCCACCACTTCAACTGCCGCAACTACTCATACAACCAGCGTATCTACCACGTCCATAACAATTAGCATAACTTCCACAACAACGATGACTAGTGTTACTGCAACTACGATCAGTGCTACAACTACTATCACCAGTGCTACATTAACTACAACTAGTCTTACGCCCACTACAACTAGTGTTACAACAACTACGAACAGTGCTACGACAACAACAACTAGTGATACGACAACTACGACTACCGATACGACCACTACAACAAGTGATACAACAACTAGTGCTACGACAAGTACAACCAGTGCTACAATAACTACAACGAGTGTTGCGACAACTACAACCACTACTACGACCATTACCACAAGTACATCGACCACAAGTCAAACGACAACTACGACTAGTACTACGACAACTACAACTACTGATACAACAAGTACCACTAGTGTCACAACCACTACAACTAGTGCTACAACAACTACGACTAGTACCACGACCACTACAACCAGTGTTACGACAACTACAACCACTGTCACGGCAACTACGACTAGTGTCACGACAAGCACATCGACCACAAGTCAAACGACAAGTACAAC